CTTCTTAAGTACAGTCCTTTTATTTTAATGATTATGTCCTGCTGGGGTGTGGCATGATTTGTTTGTGCACAAACTAATACAGTATCAGAATTTTTTATATTTATCCTTCTCATTTAACCACAATTAAATTCACTCTATGTAGGAGGCACAATTTATATGGATAGTATTTATTTTTTATAGTAACAAGCTGGAATGAAAACAAACAAATATGAAATAAAAGTAACGACTTTCTACTTCTTGCTTTTTAAAAAAATGTAGCGAGTAGAAAGTACAGATAATTTTTCGAAAATTAGAAGTAAAATGTAGGCTGAAAAATAATTACTCAAGTAAAGTACAGATACCCAAAAATTCTACTTAAGTACAGTAACAAAGTATTTGTACTTAGTTACTTTACAACTCTGCTCATTGAGCCTCCCGACCTTTATCTGGAGGAAGGTTAATGTGTCGTAGCTTGATTTACCAAGAATGCAGAAACACGTTGGAATAAATGCACAGAAAGTTTGCATGTATGGTCGTCAAAATGATTTAATTCTGAGCAACAACACAGCAGGCACTCAATCAGGAAATTTGCTGAGTTGTGACTGGCACGTCAGCGGAAAGCAGCCAATAATATACATCATGATAACATCATGTGACATGCTTATAACCAATCACAGATCGCCAACTGTAACCATCTAACCAAATGACAGGGCTGTCAGCCTGGAAACACCTTATCAGAAATTAAAGAGGTCATACATTACTGGAGTCTTGAAGTCTGGCCGATAGAGTAAAACAGCCGAAAACTGGTTATAATAAGATATGGTTACTGGACAGTGTCAAGGTAGAACAGATATACATAATTAATCCATAACAATCCCTCCTCTTGAGTAAACAATACTCAAAACCAAACCAAATGGAGTAATTATGAAACTTCCAAACACAAATGTATCACCCAACAACAAATACAATGGATAAATAAGGGGAAAATAGTGCAAGTTAAATGACGACCAACAACATATACATTCAATCAATGTAAGATACAACAGGAAAAAGGCTTAAATGACAAATGAAACATCATTACACATCAGAAGAATTGATGAAGAAAAACATGTTGAAATTTAAAAGACTTAAAAGTCCAAACTCAGACAAGGTATCACAACACAAGTTCTGCCTCCCAGTGAATTAGATGACGTGTACCACTTATGTGCTATCAGAATCTTATCTTGGATAAAGTGTTAACTTAACAACTAGTTGTCAATAAATGAACCTTAAGTAATGCAAATTAGGACAATGTGCAAAATTCAGTTCCCACCCCATGCAATTCAAAATTACTAACAACAAAACCCACAGTGCCCATAAGGCATGGACTCAAAATGTATGGATTACTGGCATGAGCTGGCTTGTGCAATGAAGAGAAAAAAACAAAAAACAAAAGTTTAACAAAAAAAAACAAACAAAAGCTAAACCCAAAGTCTAAATAAATTAAACTAAAAGAAATAGAACCCCCCTCCTCTTGTTACACCTAAGCTAAACCCTAAAGTAAGCTTAGATCTAGTCCTTCTGTGAATGACATAGACGTTGTTAGACAGCAACTCTCAGCTCCCCGGACCTCAACAGCAAAACCCAGACGGGTGAATTCTCCCTCAAATATGTCTTCGTGGCGTACCAGGCTCGAGGTAGCAGAATACCCCCTCCCCAGCCTACCACAAACTCAGAAAGGAACAAATAAACAAAAATATGACTGTCGTGGGAGGAGTCGCCGGAAGACTCAGCTGACAATCACCTAAGCTTCACCAGGAAGCTGCACAGAAGGACAAAAACACTATAAAATCATAAACAAAAACAAACAAAACAAACCATAAAATTAAAAAAACACAACCCCAACCATCCAGAAGTGTCTTAAGTGTTTAAAAATTATGTTAGGAGATGGGCCTCAGAAAAAAGATCAGGGGTAACCCTGATACTGCCCAGGAGGGGGAGCCAAATACCAACCCAGCTACCCAGGGCGTCAACTAATCCCTGAGAAAAAAAACAGGAAATTTCAAACATTGCACAGGCATAATTGCATTGCAGGCAAACCAGTGAAACATGTAAAATGCATAATAATAAGCCAATCAGAAAAGCACAAGGTTAGTCCAGTATGTCAGATAGGGGCATTTCATATTGAGTTTCATGGTGGCGGGAAAAAATGCAAACAGAGTGGCAAAAAGCACTCCCACCCAGCTAATTCAGCCTTGGGTGTAAAAATAGTTCTGTTCTCTTAATTTCATTAAGGCAGAGAGTGTGTGATCAGAAACCACACCAGAACAAAAGGGCAAAAGGCGTAGCGTTTTAGAACCCTCGCCCAGAGAGAGAGAGCAGCCGCAAAACACGGCCTGCTCAAAGGTGGAACGTGAGATGTGGGAGGGATGGGTCCCCCTCAAAAGGACCCCCAGGAAACGCCCGTTGGAAAGGCTAGCACGAGGTGGCACCCAGCTGGTCCAGGTGGAAATGGAGCACCCCCTCGATGAGAACAGCATTTGTCCTGCGGAAAAAAACCAGCAACGGGATTATAATAAGATATGGTTACTGGACAGTGTCAAGGTAGAACAGATATACATAATTAATCCATAACAAATGGTTCAATAGACTTTTGTTGTATAATACCAAAACATACGGCACTCATTGCAGTCCTCTCTGGCATAGCTGGAAGAGTGTTGATGTGGCTTCATTAGTAGCCACTAATGAACATTAATAAAATCTGACTCTGGGATTGTTTTTTGTTAAAACAACCTACAGTAGGGTTTGCTTTTATACTTTATTGCTTTATACGGTATATAACACCACAATCAGGTTYCCTTCAGCAAAARTGATTTCTCTTTTAGTCTCTGTTGTCCCAAATCTGGTGGGGTGACATGGAGAGGACCACAGAGGTGTGGAAACTTCTGCTCACCTTCTTCTGCCCTGTCCTTTGCTACACCAACTTCATCTCCTTCAGGTAAAATCTACAGGATAATGTATGATATTAACTTTTCAAAATCACAATATTTTCACAAATTTCTGTTTAAAATTTTGCAACATAGGGAGCAATACGATCAGCAACAAGAGGAGGAGGAGAAGCCTAATGAGGACAGACCAACTGACACTCATTATGGGACGACTGTCTTCTCTTTCTCTGACATCAAGCACATGTAATGCTTTTATCGGTTACATGTCTGTTTTCTGTTTTTCTGTATTTGTTGGTGGTATGTGCTTTAGCTAATGAGATACACTGATATTTTTATGAAATACTTTGCATTTGATTTACTAAAAATCCCTTGTTGCCCCAGTGAATCTGATTCAGATGAAGTTACCACTCCTCAGACTGCCACCATCAGTGGTAAGTGTTGTTAAGAGGTCAGCACTGAAAAGGATTGTGTTGACATCAGTAATCTGTTCTCACTTTTAACACAGGTTTACCTGAACCCTATAGACCACCACAACGTCCGTTCATAATATCACACTGGAGACGGTTCTGGTTTGCACCTGTCACTGCCTTTTTGGGAAACATCCTGATGTACTTCCTGTTTCTCGTGCTTTTTGCATACGTGCTGTTGATGGACTTCAAGCCCCCACCACCTTCTGGTCCGGCCAGCTCTGAGTACGTGCTGTACTTCTGGGTGTTCACCATTGTGTGTGAGGAGATCAGGGAGGTTAGTTTAATGTCTTCTTCACTGATGCATTTACCTGTTTTTATGTCCTTGATGTGTAAATGATTGAGTAATCTACTGTCATTTAACAGACATAAGTGAACACACCAAGTTTTGGTCAATTTATAGAGCCCAATTTGTCATTCTTGAGAACAACCTTGCTTGGACTCTAAAATTGCTTTCAACCATTTACTACATCTCCTTTTAAATCTTTGACTTGATCTTTTTTCATACAAAAGTTGTTTATATATTTTCTTTTCTAAGACATTCTTTATAGGGACTATGACCTGGCGTCAACGGTTTAGAGTCTATATTCAGGACGTGTGGAATAAATTTGACCTCATTGCCATAGCACTGTTCCTCATAGGATCAACCAGCAGGTAGGAATATTAATTACCTTCAAACAGAATTTGCATTAAAAGAAATATTTTCTTTTTTGTCATATCTGAATATTTTATCCTATTTGTAAACAGCAATTACTAAAAAAAATGTGGAAAAAATTCTGCAATATAGCAGATTAGATGTACAGACCCTGTCACACTATGACGTTTTAGACAACTTAAGCAAATTTTGTCCAACACATTGCTTTAAGTTGCACAAGTTAGGTGTAAGTTGTGAATATGTTATCAGAATGATGGCCGGACAATAATTTTGGACATGCCCAAAATTGTCAGTTTATGTTGACGTGCTGCTGATAAGTGAGGCACAAGTTACAGGTATGCCACGGATAATTTATGCATCAGTTCACATATGTTACAACTAAGTTATTCGTTTGTTACACAAAAGTGGACATTTGTCCAACACCAGCGGGACAATTCTGAAGCAGCACGTAACTTTTTTTTTAACCCTTGAGTGCCGTCAATTATAGGGCTCATGTACAAGTCAGTTTAACTTTTTCATAACAATTACTATGTATTATAAAAATAATAATACAGGTAAACTAAGCAACCAAAATAAACAGAATCAGTGCCAAAAAAACATTTTATTTTTCATATTTAATCAAGAAATGCTTTGATAAAATAATGCCCCAGTCTGGTTTGAAATACAAACAAGTTTAATGTAATTGTACAGAACCTTGTTTAAAATATTGTACTATTATAGTGAATTTAACTTTTCAGATATTTGTGATCAACTTTAAACTTGACACTTTGACAGAAAGGACAGCAGGTTATGGCACAAAAAATTACAAAAAAAAACAACAATGTCTTTACTTTAATCCTGATCATAAMCAACAAATATATGTTTTGCTGTTAAGATAAGATAAGATAGAACTTTATTGATCCCACAGTGGGAAAATTTGAACATTACAGCAGCTCAAAACAGTGGAGTTGCAGTAACAGGCAGCCTGCCGTGGCGCCATCTTAGAAACAAAGAAAAAACTGAAAATCACACAAGGGAAGGGAAGATGAGGAAAAAAGCAAAAACATCATATTATATCAACAATGTGACACACCATGGTGTTTATGAAAAAACCTCTGCAAGTTTATTAGAGTTTAGAGCAAGTTTATTAGCCAGAGGAGTGAGTGAGTTTAAGGGGGCCCGAAGAATCCAGTCCACCAAAACCAGAGCAGCTATAGTTCAGAAATATTGATGGAAACTGTTCATTTCTGTGCAGCTTACAGCCAGCATTGGAAAAGCAGAATAGACGAGCGAAAGGATGGGGGAAGGTGGGGGGCAGAGCCTTTGGCGACACATCCACCTAGGAAGAATTTAGTCAACAGATCCAAGGCCATTGTCAGGGAGATCCAGATTCTGTAATCAGTTGTTTTGGGAACAAAACAATATTGTTTAATTACCTAAAGTAAAGCAACATCTGCGAATGACAGTGAAATGCTCAACTGAGCAGAGCCGCACCCCAAGCCGCACACAGTGGTCTGGGGGGCTTCAGGCTGTGGGCTTCAGGCACTCTGTGGTGGCTGCGTTTTGAGGCGGCTGATCAAATCGTGGCGCAATAACTGCCCCATCTGTGCCAGATCACACGCRGCTGTTGATGAATTTAGTTGCAGCTGCGCCCAGGTGCCAGATTTGTTTCCTGTGCCCACCTCATCCTCTAAGGTGGTGCATTCGTTTTTCTCTCTGAGAATTTGTTTTTAGAACTAAAAACTCACTCTGACAAATATATTGTTTATGAGCCCCGCTCTCCGATTTCTTTCCCGACATGTTGGCAGCTGTCGGTCARTCATCGAGGGACACGCCCACACATTCTGCCAGAAGTTATGTGTCTGCTTCATAATTGTGTCTGAAAAATGTCAATGTGTGAGCAACGTTCATGTAACGTCCCGTGTAACATATGTGAACACGTTGAGCATGTTCAAAATTCTGCACTGGGATCTCCATATGACAACGAATGCCCTCTTAATTYAACATGTTGGTAAGTTATYCTAAAATTACWCCTAACYTCCATCAAYGTTTTAGTTTTTTTCTTAAGTTKATGCTGYGCGTCACTGCTGCTGACGTCGCAATTTCCTTCAACACGCTGTGCAGAATTTCTGTAGAATTTCCACTAATTTTGCAAATACATGCTGCAGAAGTCCAAACATGTTATAATAMGATGGTACATCTTATGTTAGGTGTAGCATGAACAACCATGCCTTGGCATGACCTTTTTACCAMCTCTGGTCATGTCTCCTAACTAAATGAACTTTCTTTTGAAAAAGCTTTCTTAGAGACAAAACTCTATATTAGCTTCAATAATCTGTCCTTGTCTGCAGATAATGCTGACATGACAATCTGTTTTAATCTTTTGTGGTTCATAAAAAATAAAACTAGAATAGTTCCTGGAGAAACTGAGAGGAATGCCAGCTGTGCGAAACTCGTCCTATGTTGCTATAAGGGGTTGCTGTATAAGACTTTTTTTAGTGGCCATCCTAAATATGTATTAAGTCTGTGTTTTCAATTGAAGCAACTGCTTTAGCAAATATTATCTTTAAAGGTCAAGAAATGACTGATTTATAAGTCATTTTGTGTGTTTTCTGGCTGAATTTGTGCTTTGGTACATGAAATCTTTTGCTAACAGACATTTTTCTATGCTATTTTTGTCATTTGTACGACTTGAATACTCTAATAAAGTGGATCAGTTGTTCTAAAGATTTTTCACACTTAATTTCACACATTATATTCATTCAGCATATGTAAAATGTGCTGATGTCCAGCACTTATATGGTAATCCAGGATTGCTTTTGCGTTTGGTCTTTACTGAAATAAAATTTCAAGCATGTACTTGGCTTTAGTGCTGAGATATCACGAGTTAAAAAAGTAGTAARTGTTAGATTTCTGAATTTGGTTTTGACCATTTTTTGAATGGAAGAGATAGGAGAAGGAACTTGGTTTTGCTGGCTTCTGAAGCACGTAGAGAGAAAACCAATTGTCTTAGAGCCAGACCACGCACATATTCTGAAAGAAGACAAAAATTCCTACGTTTTGATGTGTAATTTGTCTTTGTAATTTGAAAATTGTGGCTGTATTAGGAATTTGTTTGCAAAGTTTCTTCTTTAAAATTACAGAGCTCACACTCTAAGGTCACATGACCTAGAGTGTGGAGCTTCCCATGTAATCCAATGGGAATTCTTAGATTAGTTTTTTGGGGATTACGCCGCCATGGTAACAGATTATGTAAAGATAAATGATAGCACACCTCGTGAGATCGATGCCGACGCAATGATGTATTTTTCAYGATGGTGAAAGTTCTGGGATGAATAATAAATAAAGAKTCCAGTTTAGAGGTGGATAATAATAGGTTGCCATTGTTCATGGCAATCCTAATAATAATCACTAGCATGATTTTTCTTTTTAAAAGTATTTCTAAATCAAGTGTGTATTATCATACTTGGATCTGAAGATGATTTCTGWACTGYCATTTAATTTTAACATCCGCTGTTAAATGTAACTGACTGTTCTGTTTTTACTTCTTTCCTGAGAAGGAGGAAACACATGTGCATCTGYTTAACCACGACACCTCTCTAAGTCAACATAATATTCTCCCCAAAAGAAATGTATTTTCTTCTGACAGAGACTTGAGTTGTTTTTGTTATGTTTAACATTGACACAGCTAAACGCTGAGTGCAAACTGGAAAAAAGCCAGTTTTTCAGTCAATGCTTTGCCGGAGCTGGAAGCTTTGATACCTGAGATGGGCGACAGCCATCTGAGGGGAAAATTTTAATTTTTAATTACTGCAACGAGACATTTGTGCCAACCCGGCAGGGTCTGATAAGGCTGTTTTGTGACGAAAAGCCAAGCCGTCTCATTGAGTTTGTACGAACCTATAAGTGATGACCTCAGGGCAGATCTTAATCGTCTGGACCTTAGAGTCCGGCACGCAAGCCTTCACCTCCAATGAGACAGAGGGAAAGCCTCCAACATTGCTGAGCTGATGAGCTGTACCTAATTAAACATTACACACAAAAGTTTTGCAGAACAACCTGATTAAATAGCTGAGGCAAACTTGATAAAATTCTTCAGACTTGCAGTAAAATAAAAGTTACTAAAAATAATCTGGCTAAGAYCTTAACACCTTCTTTCTAAATYGACAAACTGGTGCCCCAACTTGGTAAATGTGTAGTGCAGGACAGAAATAGTTGTCACCCTTTCTTTTTCTCTCCTAACAACTTGCTACATAGGGTTAATTTACTCATTTATATCTGTTCAAGTTGTTAGCAGYATGGTATGATCAYGTCCAAAAGAAGGTGCTAATTGATGCTTTTTTTCTGTTCCTCAGTGTGTGCCAACGTGTTGGGCAAACTTTGCAGAGGTTGCATCAGTTCTCTAAAACCATAGTGTGACTGGGATTTACTATGAAGAACTATATACCTGTTCTTAAATAGTCAAACATTTGCATATTTCTTGCTTTTATTTGCRTTAACTTTAAATGTGTTGCAGGATGTTTAGCTGGTCGTATGAATTTGGGCGGGATGTCCTGTGTGTGGACTACATGGTCTTCACTCTTCGCCTCCTTCACATTGTTGCCATTCACAAACAGCTGGGACCCAAGATTATCATTGTTGGCAAGATGGTGAGAAATGCTGTTAAATATTTAATTATTTGTAATTTTACCTAATGTTTAATATGACAAGAAAATAAACAAACTATTTTGTTCAGGTGAAAGATGTCTTCTTCTTCCTCTTCTTCCTGGGAGTGTGGCTCATGGCGTACGGAATAGCCAATCAGGCTTTGCTTTACTCCTATGATCCTAACTTTGGTCGCATTTTCCGAAGAGTTTTCTACAGACCTTACTTGCACATCTATGGACAGATTCCTGTGGAGGAGGTCGATGGTATGAGGGCGTTTTTGTTCAGCTTGTATTACACTTTTTTTCACATTCAATGCAATATTTTCTAGGCTACATCATTGATGGCTGTTGTGTTTTGTGTGAATATGTCATAGACGGTAATATAAGCGTACTTTTTCTTAATTTTGCTGGATTTTTTTCCTTCCATTCCAGTTGGTAAGGTGTGGGATGTAACCTGTACAGATGACACAACATTGATTGAGGGTGGTGCAGAGCCATGCAGATCTACGCACAATAACTGGCTGGTGGCCATTCTGTTAGTTATTTATCTCCTGGTTACAAACATTCTACTCATAAACCTGCTTATTGCAATGTTTAGGTAGGTGGGCCAGCAGCACAGTGAATGTAAATGTATGGTCTCAGTCTGTTTATATTTAAACGTGATCTTGTGTGCACACAGCTACACCTTCACTGAAGTGCAGGCCAACAGTGACATCTACTGGAAGTTTCAGCGCTACAACCTAATTGTCCAGTATCACTCCAAGCCCTCACTGGCTCCTCCTTTCATCATCCTCTCTCACATCAATTTATTTATCAAGAGGGTCATCCGTAAGGTTCCCTCTGTCAAGATCCACCACTTTGGTTAGTATTAAACTGGAGGCTTATTTTAACTGTATGCAGTAAAGTTAGGTTTGATGATTAAAAGTTGTCTTGGTGGTTGTTTACTTGCTGCCTTTTCCCAATGAACACAAGTAACTAGCAGAGTACTCATCATCCCTTTGTCCTTTTTGTCCCTAGTTTTGCTGTTGTGTTTTCTGTGGTGATCTGCGAACACCAGAGTTGCACATTAATGACAGTCTTTTCAATTAGTTTTGCAGTTAAAGGGAAAAGCAGCAAACAGATTAATGACGTGGGAAAGTATCCAGAAAGAAGACTTCCTGACTGCTCAAAACAAAATCCAGAAGAGTAGTGACTCGGAGAAACTGAAGCGGATGTCTGACAAGTGAGCCCTCATTGCTGAATCACAGCAGCAGGAATATTAATGACATGGAGGCAAAAATTTGTCTTGTTATCTCTTGTTTTTATTTTTATTTTTTTCAGGCTGAATGGTGTGATGAAACAGTTGTCTGAAATCAAAGAGTTTGAACACAGACTCAAATCCCTGGAGAATGAGGTAAACATGATGTATGCACTGATGATGACCACTAATTTGAAATTCATTGACTTTACGTTTTTGCGTGTGCACCACCAGAGCRTTCATTGTATTCATGAAAATTTTTGGCAAAATTTTGATTTAACACTACAGATGCTGTTGCAAAAAGTTTTTTTTTTAAAAATAAAACTCAATGTTTGTGTGTAATATTCTCTAACACATACATCAGTATGTGAATGTGTGTGTGAATGAATAATGTAAAGCATCTTTGATTGTCCTAAAAAAGTGCTGTATAAGACTAATGTAGTATTATTGTACCGTACCGTACCATACCACTTTTATTTATAAAGCACTTTAAATAGCACAAGGCCAAACACAGTGCTGTACAGTAGACAGAGACAACAGGACGTAGTTAAAATGCAAATCAAAATATTGAGCTTTTATATTTACAGTATAGAACAGAGTTATGATACACAGTGAGGTTTTGCACCATCTCACTCAGACTCAAAGTCAAGGGAGTTGTAGTGTGTTTTAAACGAGACTTGAAGACAGCGAGTGAAAGGTTATTATTATTATTATTATGCACAGTTTGTAAAATAACTTCCTCAATTAAAGCATTCATTGGAAAAGTTACTGCAGTAGAAGGTTTTCTAATATTACAGGCATGCATGTTGCAGAAGGTAATATGAACAGTCACCAGCAGAGGGGGAGCATGTAACATTGAACAAGCTTTGAGTGAAGGTTTTTTTTAGAGGGAAAACAATTTTCAAGCTGAGGCTAGTGACATTCTCATGTCTCTTCTTACTTTTAGTAATGGTAAAGGGCAGGTTTTGTGTTTGTTTACTAAAACTTGTTCTTTCCCGTGTTTCCACTCTTAACTCAAAGCTAAGCTACCTGTCTGCTTGCAAACACCTCATTTACTGTAACAAAATATATCAGCCATTCACGATGGATTACCATGGAAATCGTTAGGTAGTTGTTTTCTTGCACTATTCACTAAAATTTTGTGCAGGAAAGTAGCTGTAGAAACTGGATTAAATCAGCACTTTTGGTCATTTTGGCTCGTTTACTTTTAGAATCTCTCCTGCATTTTTATGATGTTATTTTTTTAAAACTATGATGAATGTCACTGAGGATCAGTGTCTTTTGTGGGGGAAAATAACTGAAGTTGCACCAAACAGTTTTTATTCTTCCTCTCAGATGGAGTACAGCTCAGATGCTCTCAGGTGGATTGTGGAAACTTTGGCACAAAGCAGCACATTGAAAAACCCTCGACCTCCACCTGTATCAAGAGGTAAACCTCAGCAGTTATAAAAACGAACACATTTCAAAACAAATGTTTACTGAAGTCCTGTGCAATGCAGCATATGAGCTTGTTTGTCTAGTTACTGAATGGTGCAAGATGTTTCCCATCAAAATGTCACAATCACTCAGTAATCTGTCTTTCTCTGAACTTTTCTACACAGATGCCGTCTCCACTTCCTCCAGTTCATATTGATTATGCCTTTGGGTTATCACTGAGGCAGTAAGGATCAGGAAAAAGACAAATACTAGAGCTCATAGTCATGTTTATCACTACAGTTTACAACCAAGACCAGAACTAAATAAGTTCACCTTTTAAAAACTGACAGTATTTTGTTAAGGAAAACTTTTTTAAATACCAAGAGCAATGGATGAATGTTATTAACAATTTACATTCTGGTAAAACAGATGTTTACACTTGGTTGCATTAAATGTACATTTATGTTGCTACTGCTCAGTAAATTTTATAAAGAGAATGCATTTATGCCATTCTAAAGAGAATGAAAAAACATTTTTACAGAAATTTGAGATTTTTCTATATTTATGAGAAGATTTATGATTCTGTTACAGAC